GCGAGGTAAAAGGATGTACACTAAGCTGCATCCCAGCCCCCTTGACTGGGATTTCAGTTGGTCTTACTAGCGAGCAGACCTACACCTGGGCCCTCAATATAGGTGGGACTTCCTTAAAATTTGGCAACCTTGGACTTCCTACATGGCATCTCCAGGATCCAAATTCAAGTTCCCCAGGAGAACCAGGTGGAAGCTGCATGGTCATCGATAGTCTAGCACCAGCCAGTCACTAAAGTGGACCAAGAAATCACTAAGACTCAGGTTCAAGGGAAGGCCATAGATATCCTATCTACTTATAATTTGTTGCCGTACTGAGAATCGAAGCCAGGGCTGTGGGCATGCCAGGCAAGCACTCTGAGCGACATCCCCAGCCCATACCTTACCTCTTAATGGAGAAGCCTCAGAGAATTTGCAGACATGTTTGAAGCCTCCAGGTTGTGACTGTTCCTTGCTGGGGGCTCGGTCGGTCTCTCTCCCCCTCACTCTCACTTATCCTCACACACACGTCACTGTCATCACATACCATCCCACTCACACTCACAAACATACGTGTCATGGCTTGTTTACACCAGCTATCAGGAGAGGTGACTAATCTGTAGTGGCAGTTTGTGGCACTCTGTAAGGAATAACACCCGAATCTTAAAAAGAGGAACATATTAGTTATTGAGTAATAACAAGTACCAGGTTATTCTAATTCTTGAAATACGTATGAAATTCAAGGATGGAAATTTTTAATAAAGATTCACAGGATAAAGCCCAGCCTTTGGGACACTAGGACTATTTCACTTTCCAGAGACTTGGCTGACATCGGAGCCTCCCCCGATTCACCATTTAGATACTCTTGATGTAAGATGGCATATCTTTTGCTAAAAATTGTTGTAGAATGATGCAGTGTTTTCTCTCCCTTGATTACTACCTTTGCTGCCTCCATGACGACCCGTCATCCATTTCTCTTTATTTCCCCCACTCAGTAAGTCATGGAATTGACATTTATCAAGTGCCAATCTCTGCAGGAGATGCTGAAATGAATAACACCTGGTCCAGGTGTTCAAGCGTTTTACAGGAAGCCTTATGGATGGTGTCAGGCCATATGGGGCGAAGTCCTGGAAGAGCATTTGAACACTACACCAGGCTCACGGGCTGCTCACCCGGGATCCATTCTCCCCCGACTTCTTAGCTAGCAGCTCTTCAGTTTTAATCAGAAGTCGGGCTCTTTCTGTGTCTTAAAGGAGTCTGATTCCTTCTCCTGCTATGCACAGGGCAGAATCTTGCTGCCCAAGCCACTCATGGGATTTTCATTTTCTTTCTAGCCTGCACTGCACCATGATAGCAGTTCTGGTCAAAGGATATAAGATAAAAAGTGTGATGGAGGCTTGTGGGAAATCTTATTCCCCCTTTCAAAAGGCATCTAACCTCAGGAAAGGAAAAATACCTGTTAGTGTTCTATCGTACAGTAAGATAGCTGTGGATGGCATGGATTAATTGTCTATTTCAAAATAGCTAGCTAAGACTCAGATTCCAAATATTCCCAACACCAAGAAATTAGATAAAAGTTTGAGATGATGGATAAGCTGATTACCCTGATTTGATCATTACATATTGTATACCTATATTGGAATGCCACACTAAATCCTATAAATCTGTATGATTATTTGGTGTCAATTAAAAAGTTAGAAATATATTTTTAAAAAGGTACCCAACTTCTTCTCTCAACAGCTAGTTGGATCCTGTTGGGTGCATTTGGGAAGCAGCTATCTTGCAACCATGAGGGGAGTGGTTGACAGGCTGAGGTTATAACATGGAAAGATGGAAAGGATATGGGCCTCTCCAGACATGATGGAACCTCTGAGTTAACCAACCCTGAAATTACTCTGCCTTTGAACTTCGTGTTATACGAGGCATTTTCCTTATGAGTTAAGCTATTTTTAACTGGATTTTTTATTTACCTGAACCCAGG